CCAGCTGGCTTGGTGCCTAAGGCAGGACTATAAGTCACTGCTTCCTGGTTTCTAGCCTGATGTCTTAACCAAACTGGCTCTTCAGAATGAATTAAGCCAGAAAATTATATCTTCTCTTACAATATGAATCCTTGTATGATGTTTATTAGGATTTTCATGAATGTTCTGTATTAATTAATGTTTATTTTTAAACTTTCAGAATTACTGGACCTCCAGCCTTTACCAATCACAGCTTTGGGAGATCCCAAATATGAAGCCCTCTACAAGTTTACTCATTTCAACCCAGTTCAGACTCAGATATTCCATACGTTATACCACACAGATAGTAATGTACTACTTGGAGCTCCCACTGGTTCTGGAAAGACAGTTGCAGCAGAATTAGCCATCTTCAGAATTTTCAATAACTATCCCACTGCAAAGGTTTGCAATACATTTTTTTTCCTCTGAGAAATGTTTGTTTTCTGTAATCTGGTATCCATTAGGACTGAACTTATCAGATGAATGGACAACAATATTACATAAGGCTTCGTTTTTATCTGAAAATGTGTGTTTAATGAAAAATGCCAAAGTGAAAAAAGTGCTTAAAATGGGGGGAGATGCTTTCCATTAAAAAAAAAACAACTATATGACTGATGGAAATTTGTTGCTGTGTTACAATATTTCCATACCCCATATCAACAAATTGTTCTTTGGCTAGTTCACATAGGTATAAACATGAAGTAGAAAGACAGGCATAAAATCCAAACAGCTAAAAAGGCTTGGGGGGGAAAGTACTACAAAAATAAGAATAAGAATAAGAATAATAATAATACAAAGACATTAAAACTAGACATTCTGGAGAATAAAAGGTTTACCTGGCATCAGAAAGAGCATCATGTTTATACTTTAATTTCACTTGGATTTAATTGCTTTAAAGAATGAAATAATTTTTCAACATGAAGCACTCAATTTTAGTTTAATTAGCAGAACAGTGATGCTTTAAATACTGGCCTGAAATCTAAATAATTACTGTGTTGTTCTATTATTGTGATTCTGTATACACTTTAATCTGCTTCTCTTGACTTGTCTTGTAGGCAGTATATATTGCACCCCTTAAGGCACTGGTGCGGGAACGAATTGAAGACTGGAAAATTAGAATTGAAGAAAAGCTTAGTAAAAAGTAAGCTTTTTTTAAAAAAATAAGCTTTTTCAAAAAATTAAAATAGTCAATAGAGAAGTTAAGGCTATTTGCTTGATACTGTTTGCTGTAACCTTAAGAACTTTCAGCTAATACATAAATGTGGGTATAGGTTAATAGATTTGCTATATTTACGAATATTCCTTACTATAATATCATATACAGTTCATGAAATCTGAAAATTGTTTTCTTAAGACTATATTTATGTACAAATAACAAGCTTAGGGGACTTTCTTAATATATATATCTATAGGAGTGTATTGATTAACTTCAATTAAAATCTACACATGAAATAATTCAAAATACTTCTAGATATATTGCGGTTTGAAATCACTTTGAGAAAATATTCCTCTGCATCATGACTTGGATAGAAGATCAGCCAAACTTTTCTAAAGCATGGATTCTTTTCCCTAGGACCTCTGTGTTACCATCTTTCCCTCCTAATTACAGCATAGGGCTTGCTTGTGAAAGGAATTGTGTTAATTAGGATGGAAACACACTCCTTTTTTTCTGGGTGGAACATGAATAAGAAATAAACACAATATTAGGAATGTTATTGTGGTGTCACCCTTTTCTTCAGAGACAGTAATGTTATTTCTCATGTTCCTGTTAATGTTCAGGACCAAGTAACCACTTACAAAGCGATAAAGGTTTGTGTGCTAATATTTCACAATGATCATTTGACAGGGTTGTAGAACTGACAGGAGATGTAACTCCTGATATGAGATCCATTGCCCAAGCTGACCTTATTGTTACTACACCAGAGAAATGGGATGGAGTCAGCCGAAGCTGGCAGAATAGAAGCTATGTCCAGAAGGTTTCCGTTCTCATCATAGATGAGATTCATCTGCTAGGTAGGTATTGTTTTTATCCTTATTGTTGTTGCACCTGAAATGCGTTGGCATTGTTAGTTGATCGTCTACATGCACACCCACACCTATCTATATCTATATCTATATAGATATATATCTATATCTATATCTGTCTTCTTTTTTCTGTTTTCCTAGGGGATGAGAGAGGGCCTGTCCTGGAAGTTATTGTGTCTCGGACTAATTTCATCTCATCTCACACAGAGAAGCCAGTCAGAATAGTTGGTCTGTCAACAGCATTAGCCAATGCCAGGGATCTAGCTGATTGGCTAAATATTAATCAAGTATGTAAATAATGTTAACATTTGAACCTCTGAGCATTATTTTTTAAATATTTACAGTCTTAAGCATGGAAAAATAACCTTATTTTATCTCTTTAGATGGGGCTATTCAATTTCAGGCCATCAGTGCGTCCAGTTCCATTGGAAGTTCACATACAAGGTTTCCCAGGCCAGCATTATTGTCCTCGCATGGCTAGCATGAACAAACCAGCCTTTCAGGGTATGCAGCCTTAGCTATATTTTTCTCCTAATACCCATAACAGACAAATTTATAATACATGTTTTGTGTATTTTTTTTTGTACCTTTAAGTAATGTCTTTTTAACAACATGGCTTAGGTTCAGGCCTTATACATTAAACAGCTAACAGCACAGAGTGGGACTGAAATACTATATATTTCAGACAGAATATTGAGGTTACTGTTACCATTTGACACTGTGAAAATATTTTCCTGTTAGTGTGTTGAGATTTACAACATATAAAATCACTCTCAGTATTAATTCAGTAGGAGATTTGCTCCTAATGGAATCTTTTAAAAATGTAAACAGAAGTTGGATGTCAAGCTAAGCTTGCATAATTCTAATTTCACAGCAATAACCATAAACTTCAGAAATTAGTGTGTCCAGATATGTCTCTCTTTTCAACTTTTTATTCTTACACTGGAAAGCAGGATAGATTTAAGAATCACCTTCATATTTTATTGAAGCATGTTCTGTGTAGGTTCCATAAGGAATATTTATTATATCAATTAAAAAGAAGTCCCCAAATAAATTTTGGGTTGTGAACTGCTGTTGATTGTAAGGCGACAGTTGTGAGGTGACTTTTTAGCTGATCTAATTAGCCTTATGACAGAAGCGAAGTATTGATTGGGGACTAGAGACCAATCTTGGCAGTTCAGATTATTTACACCTCAAAGAGGAGCATTGTAGAAAAACACTAATGAACTATAAATCTGTCCAGAGCTGTTCAGCCACACCTGTTCCTGAAACAACAAAAATTCATTATCTGTCAAGCTTTCATCAGGAAATAGATGTATTGATTTCTGTATGAAGAAGAGGCGATGTTAACATTGTCATTTGTTATATGTACACACATGTACATGCCTACGTTCCTACTTGCAGAAGTGTATTGTCATTTTTATTAAAATTGGATTGTCAAGTATCAAAGCTTTCAAGAAGTAATAAAGCTATTTTTACATTCAGCAAATTCTTTATTTTCAATATTATACATATTAATAACTGTACCTGAAAGAATGCTGTTAATACTTCTATGTTCTGATCAAATTACTATAGCAGTATAATTTAAGGAAAGTTTTTCTTTCCATATGTTTGATAGAACATAGTTCTAGATAGAATATATTCTCTTCTATTAGAATATAGTTATGCATATGTCAGTGGTTACCATTATAAACTTCATTTCTCAATCCATAAAATTGTGCTAAAAGCTGAAGCTTTTCATTTTGTGCAAAAATGGTTTTTTTTAAAAAAATGCTGCTTTAGCTTGACTACTTTCCTTTTTTGCTATATTAACTTTTAAATTCCACTCTCCCCCCTCTCCTCAAGTAAGTTGTCTTTGCTATAATTTTAGATTCTTGAAAGGAATCTTTAACGGGGAAAAAAATCTAATCAATTATCATTTTTCATAATGAATCATTGCCACTGCAAGAAGCTGTGAAGGAAATGCTAGAATGAGAAATTACATTCCAGTATTTGATTTTTCTTTTGTGTTTTAACAGCTATTAGGAGTCATTCTCCAGCCAAGCCAGTTCTTATCTTTGTATCATCCAGACGACAAACTAGACTTACAGCTTTGGAGCTCATTGCATTTTTGGCAACTGAAGATGATCCAAAACAATGGCTGAATATGGATGAAAGAGAGGTGAATTTTGTATTACTTGAATTAAGTGAAGTTAAATTTGAAATTTATATAAAAAAATTAGGATTTGGTGACTGTTCATGTTTTGGTTTTGTCTTTCTGGACCTTTTTTCTGACATAAAGTTGGCACACACAATAACTTTTGACGCATTAGTTGAGAATGGGCTTCAGGGTTTTATGTTCCTTTAGTCATTCCTTGATCTCTTCTTTCTAAAACACAAGTTCCCATAACTTCATCTACTGGCAAATAAATATTTCATCATTATCAAAGCAGAGTTTGTTTCTTTAAAGGGAGTTGTAACTGGAGTTCAGAAAAGATCATTTGCTTTCCAACCGCAAAAAGCAGGAAAGATGTATGATACTTTGCTGTATTGATTCCTTAGGCATTATCCCAGAGTACTGCATACATGTCTGCATGCATGCTTGAAGCTATAACTTGTGGTGATTCACATTGTCAGACATGATATATTTTCTATCTATGCTTTTAAAACCTTGCACCCTGGCATCATGATCCTAAAATCTGTCCACTTTGCCTGACATGTTGCAAGGTAGATAATCTTTTTTCTGTGGAGGGCTGCTTTATTTTAGTCTTTTCAGGATCTCATGGTAGGTGGGCTTTAGCAAGCAGCGGAAACCCAAGCTCAAACTGGGTTGGGATGCTCCTGTGTGATTTTCACTATGGCAAAGTCAGATAAAGTGTGATTTTTAGATACTGTCATGTATTTCTCCATCTTTTTATAGAATATTTAGGGCTTTTCCATGAGCTTGCAATCAGCAAGCATCACACAACCAAAAAACCCAAGAACGGATGATATATCTGTACCACTTGGTCTCAGATAACCTCAGACGTCTTCCCAATCCACTACATTGTTCTTAGAAACTGAAGGGGTTTGGTGGGAGCTGTACTAATTTCATGGTTTGTGTAAGGTTAAGAACACTTCTGCAAGCTCTAGAAGGTCCCGAACAGGGCACAGGGACCTTTAATCCCTCAAAGAACTGAAATCACAGAGAAGTAACCGTTCTTCTCTTTCTCTCTAACATACATACACATGTATTTGGATGTGTATATATAGGGGTTACCAAAAGTCAGGCCTCATAAACAATTTATTATATCAATTACATTAAGTATTTGAATTGGTTGCTGTTTTCTTATAAACTCTAAATTACTCGTTTGATACATAGCCTTTGAACATTAAGTACAGTGACATATTCTCTGATGTTTGCAAACCCTAATCTGATGGTCTCCTTTAGATCATCGGTTGGCCTGTGAGGCCTGTCTTTTGGTACATCCTGTATATAAAAATAAACACTCTCTCTCGTACAATTTGGCTTCCACTGAGTATGGCCATCCTTTTTTAGCTATGTATTAACCTTTTGTGGTGTAGGATTTTTCTACAAGTAAGGGTTGAAGATGCTACCTTCTCTTTGAAAAGTAAATGTAAAAGCTGCCCTCTGTAAAATGCTCACGCAGCATACACTGAGAGTGAAGCAGTTTTCCTAGTCAACTGGTTTTTGTGATGCCATGAAGGCAATTTATTAAATAAATTTTCATTATTGCATTTTTACTACAACAAGAAAGGGAAAGAAGCACATGCTGGATTTTTGGTCTGTAGTGCCAAAACAACTTTAGTGTTGATCATATTGGCTTCAGGGAACAGAGGCTTGAAAAGCTATTGCTATTTCATCTGAAGCAGTAGAAATGTCCCAGAGTAGTCCTGGATAAAATAAAACAAAATAATATAGATTGGGCATAAATCTAAAATATCACAAGGGGAAATTACAGATTCAGTCTTAAAGTTGTAATAGTGATTACAGTATTATCTAAATTACAGAATTTGCTTGGTAAAGATTCTGTTGCCAATGGAAGTATATAAAAGTTCCTATCTATTTGGCTTAGAATGTTGTTCTGTGCCATAGTCTGAAATTTCTACTGCTTTTAGTTATATAGAGGAAGAAAATTTAGTAATGGTAAAATATTTACAACATATTTATCATTTTAAGTATGTGCAGGATGTTAAGATTATACTACAGCTGTTTAGTTAAATAGCCACAGTATTTTGAAACTGTGATGTTTGGTAATACTTAAAATACTTCATCCAATTCCAGGGATGTAATTGAGAAGCCAACTGCACATATTGAAGAAATTGATGAATATCTGTGAGATTTCTGAACAGGAAGCTACATGTAGAGCTAAGACTGTTGGAGTGTATGCAAAATATGTTTTTTTTATGGAACTAAAAGTAGAAAAATTCTGTTACCCTGAATTTTTGCTCTATTTTGAATTGAATTATTGTCAGACATATGATTCTATTTTTGCTATTTACACCAGTAACTAATATCAGTGTGATTTTCACAAAGGCATAATTGGATAACATGAAATTTGTCATGTACTGTATTTCTTCATCTTTTTACAAAATATTTGGGGCTTTTCCATGAGCTTCTTTAATCAGCAAGCATCACACAACAAAAAAACGAAGAACAGACAATATATTTCCAGATAGTGTCAAACTCTAATGCCCATCACACCTAGTCAGCATAGCCCATAGCAAGAGATGATAGAAGTTGTATTCTGGAGGCCATACGCTGCCCACCTGCTTCTAAAGTCAAAGCACAGGGCAAGGATGTTAATGTTATTTTTAAAATTATGTTTCTTTATTTCTGACTTGTTATATGTTTATCTTTAGTTTTTATTCTAGAACGAAGAATAAGCTGCATAAGTTATAACTGACCTTGCCTGGATGGTTTTTGTTCCTTTCAACAATCCTGGGAAGTAGATTGGTAGAAAAGATATAATTGCCTGAAAATCACTCTGTAATTCTGGGTGTGCCTTTCAGATTCAATTCCAACACTATATCCAATATTAAGTTACAGCACTTAGAGTGATACATATCAGTATTTGTGTCCATAAATAATGTGGAAGAGGGATGGGGAGGATCTGACTTTGCATTTTCAGTACCACTTCCTTCTGCAGCATTGCATGTTGTCAATTTTTTGAAAAATGCACCTTAACACAGGGGCATTCTAACATTGCACAACATCTGTGCCAGATGTTAAATGTGTAATTATATTTTGTTTTAAGACTTCATCACTTTCCTGATTCTTTGTACAACCCATCTTTCTTTACTGGCCATTTCAGACCATCGATAAGCATTATGCAGTGGCATATGGTCTGAGTCTGATGTGCTTTGAAAAGGCTACAGAGTACTAATAATGAGGATTCCACGAAAATGGGAAAACCAGGGCAGCAGATAATGCTCTGAGAAAGTACGGGGCTTTAGCATCTTGAAACAATATATCACACTCAAAGGGACAGAATTGGGCTGCACAATCTGTTAGCTCATTCTTGTCCAATCTGGTCTCCTCCTTTCTTTCGGAGCCAGCGTTGTCATCGGCTTGCTGAATTATACCCTGACTGGAATGAATTTCAGACACAGGGTAATGTATCTACTTAAATGGAATTCTGCCTTTTTTACAAAAGCTTTTTAGGTATATTTTTAGATATATTAATGTTAAATCACTCCTAATTTTACACATGTGTAATAATAGAAGAAAAATTCTACTTACAAGTTTGACAACAATTTCCATAACCTTGTCATAAACTTTGTTTATTTATTGCCTTTTTGCTACTTTCAAAATATGTAAAAGATTTGAAAGGAATTTTAGGCTCAGATTTTAGAGATCACAATAAAATGATATGCTTATAACTAAGCCACGTAACAAGAACAGTGTTTTTTCCTCTTTAGCATCAACAGGTTATATTGGTTTATTAGGAAAGATCTGATCTTTTACTTGCGGCATTAATATTACAATTAGCCCTCTTCAGTAGACTTAAAGAAATTTCATCTGTCATGTGAAAATGTAAGTTTTCTGTCAGCTTAGAATAAATCTGAGCAAGACATGTTTCAAGCAAATTTACCCTTGATGGTAAAATTGGTTCATTGTTTCAAAAGAAAACTGCTATATATGCGTATGGATTTGTTCTGTGGGGGATGGTGTCTTGAGTAAAATTTTTAAAATGTATTTATTACTCCTTTTTATATCTTTACTCAAATACAAGTCCTCTGAGTTCACTGAAATTTAGTATCGTAACCTAAAATCTGCTTTGTACTTTGAAGAATAGTTGCTAAACGTTCTACAGTGGTAGTCACGTCTAGATTTTAATTAAATTATTCTTGTGCAACAATCTGGAAATTGCCCTTTCAGTATCCTTAATACTTTTGCCTCAGTTTGTTAAGATAATAAATAATATGTGTTCCAAAAATCATCACACGGGGATTTTTTGCAAAACGTTTTCAGAATTCTGCAGCCATGGAATGTGTTCCTAGGTTATCAAGAGAGTACTGTAGTTGTTGCTGTGTTGCTCTACTGATTGCTGTGAAAATGAGAGAGGGATGGGTAGAAATAAGTAAAGTCACTTGTTATTCACATGACAAAATGGCAGGGCATACAGCAGCACTCCTGCTAAGGGTCCTTTGATTTTCCTGCGATAAATACATGGCGTTGCCAACATAACCAACAGTACCTCAGGCCATAAGTCTAGTACAAGACAGTGGACTGATTGGGTCTTGAATGCCATCACCAGCCTAGCAACTCTTAAATGCATCCCCGCTGAATAAACACCCAGTGGGGTAAAATAGGGTCTGTGGGGTGGGAAGTTTTATGATGAAGCTTTAATAACAAAATGTACAATTAATATTACAAAATCCATGATCCATTATGAATAAGAAACAAGGTGATGTTTTAATATTTTTCTGAAATTCTTCCACTGAGATTAAACCTTTCAGTGCCACTATAGTCTGTATACCATGGTCTGTATTTACAAGCTCAGTGAGCAAATGCAGTGTCTATATCTGAATTCTTTAGTATTATTTGTTCCAAGGAGCGACCGTATGCTTCAGTCACAGAGCAAACCTAGAGGATTCTTACATTCTAATGTTTTTGGTCTTGATCATTTGTTTCTGGCTCAAAATTTTATTTGAAAAGCAGAGTCTGTTACTATAGGATTCTATAGCTAGATTAAGGATTAAGATAGGTAGGTAGACAGACAGACAGACAGATAGCTTCTTAGAGCTAAGCCATGGATCAGAAGTTTTGATTGATTTCTTCATTTTACTCTTTCTTGAAAAGGTTTAAACTGTTTCTCCTTTAAAGTGCACCTCCAAAAATTGTAAAAGCTCCCTGTGCAAGTCCAATATAAAGTACAGTAGTGGCCTCTCTTTAAAATTTACAGAACAGGCAAAGGCACTTTTTTCTTAATCTCATTGGAACATTAGTCTCTTTGTCTGCCTTTCATTTGGCCTTTGTAGGAATGCCATTTCCTTATGCTTCACTCTACTGTATTTTCTTTAATTCCCTGTCTTCACTGACTGTACTTCTCAGATAGATTTAGATAGCTGTGTCCATCCTTTTTGCTGTGAGAGAACTCATCTAGGAGCTTTCCTAATATCATGTAAACTTATTGGTAGTAGAACTCCAACAAACCAGAGTCCATGTTGTAATCATTGTCAAATATTTTTATGACATTTGCTTTCTGTCTGTTTTTTCAGATTAACCTAAATTTAAATAGATCGGCCTTCAATAAATAATACTGATCTTTGGAGTTTCTTGTATTGATGGAATTGTTTTCTCTCATTAGCCAATGGGGAAAAAAAATAGTTTCTTCATTATTCACAGACATATAGTAATATTGATGCCATAAACAAATGTATCTGCTACTGTACTACAGTACGATAGTTTGCTCCATTCTACTGACATTTTAAAGAAAGCAATAATGCTTTCCAGTCTACAGGTTTCTGATTTTATCCATTTATTTTTATATGTTGTTCTGTATAAAAGCTTAAGAAAAAAAACCCTACACTGCAACAGACAGTGCTTCTGAGATTTGCCAACTTTTCAGAAGCAGTTGAGTAGTTGTGTGGAAGATTGCTTTCAGAAAGAAGGGATTCTGAAGGTCTGCTTACATTTATCACATGGATATGTCTTTGCAGCTGATCTTTTGTAATTATTTATTAACTGAAAAGTGCTCTGACTTAAGTTGGGTGTTAAATATTGTGTCTCTGTGGCTTGATCTATAACACTTATTTTGTACTGAACCCTGTTATTTCAGTGGTTTATTAATCCTAAATAAACCTATTTGTGTACAGTCTGACTATTTCTACTCTCCCATGCTGCTCTCCACTTATTCCTTATTTGGAAGTAAGTTATACCAGCATAACATTTGCTATCCCCATTGCTTGTCCTTATCCTGCTCCTGTTGCCTCTGTTTTGCAGTAATGCCAAGTCCCCTGACTTTCCTACAAGAGAACGGGTGACAGAGCCTAACAAATTTTACCCACATCCAGGTGGTAGTTGCACAAGGGTAAAATACTACTTCTAACACCGGTATAACTGATGTAAGCTTGTCCCACTTAGGGGCTGGGGATGATACAAAGACACCATCATAGGGACACCACAGAAAATAGATGTTGCCAGGGCAGATTTATGCCAAGATTAAAGCCAAGTGGCAAAAAGGCCCTTTAAATTATTTAGCAAAGGAACTGTTTTTTCCCTTTATTTACAAAATGTTGTGGGTAGTACTTTGTTTTAGAAATCTTTTTTTAATTAGCATTCCTGCTATTGATCAAAATGTTCTGAAAGGTTCTCAAATGAATCCATTTTATATTGTCCTCTTGTGTATTACAGATGAGCGTCATCATTGCGACAATCCGAGAGTCTAATCTTAAACTGACCCTGGCTTTTGGAATAGGCATCCACCATGCTGGTCTTCACGAACGAGACAGAAAAACTGTGGAAGAACTATTTGTGAACTGTAAAATCCAAGTATGTTTACTATACACATAATAGCATACAGGTAGTCCTCGCTTACCAACCACTTGTTCAGCGACTGTTCAAAGTTGTGATGGTGCTGAACAAGTGGTATTTACAACTGGTCCTCAAAGTTCTGGCCATTGCACCACCCCTCTGGTCACGTGATCATGATTCAGGCATTTGGCAACCAGCTCACACTTAGAACAGTTGCAGCACCCCATAGGCATGTGATTGCCATCCCCCACCCCCGTTATGGTGCTGAGTCAGTATGGTTGTCTGGATCTGGTGTTCTGGACCAGAGGTTTTTAGTATGTTGCTGAAGGTTGCAGGCTTGTTGTTTTGGTTTGGATGGTGGAGCAGTCTCCTTAGGTCATTTCCTGACCAGACTGAGCTGAACTGGCCCTCTGTCTGGCCCACGCGGTTTATATCCCTTGGAGGCTTGGCAGCTTGGGACAGAATTGCATGTGGTGCCTGGGGCTCATCCCCTTACCTTGGCCCAAGTGGTTTGGAGAACTGGACTTGGGGAATTGGAGCCAGCGGTGGAGGCGGCTGGATTGTTGGATCACCAGGTGCACGGATCAGCTGCTTCAGGCTGGAGGTACTCCAGGTGTTTTGTGGCGATCAGTGACACAGCGGAGGGAAGAAATACGACAACAGAGGAAGCCCTCTATTGGTTAATGGAAGGGACGTGCTTCGGAGCAAGGTTGAAGGGGCTGTAAGAGTGAGGATGAGGGCTGCCTTTTTCCTTCATTGTGGTCACGTGGAAGTGAGGGATTTGCTGTGGTGGAGACAGGGCTGGATCAGGCTGGATGTGATTTCCTGGTCCCTGTGGCTACAGCCTTATCCCCCACATGGTCAGGTAGCCAACTTGCCTCCTTCCTGGTTGGGAGCTAGACAATATAACAGCCATCTTCCTGTGGGCTGTTTTCAAGTGAATGTCATCATGACCCAAGAGGACTGTAACTTGATTAAGGATTAAGGGACTGGACTAGTCATCAAGTGGGAAAGTTTGTGGGTTGTGGTTTGGGATTGGGTTGGTTTTTGCTTGTGGGAGTAAGTTGGGGTATGTGGGCTCAGGCATGGACCTTTATGGACAGGCTCTGGAGGGATGGGGGCAGATTGTAACATCCAAGTAATGACAGGTGGGGGGAGATATGACAAAAGACAAAGGGCAGGCCACTCACAGAGACCGTGCCACAGGTATATTGTTCCTGTGACACATTCCAGCCCTTCAAGCTCACTCCCAGGCCCCGGATGGCAGACAAAGGCCCTGGGTTGTCATCTGCTGCTGCTGAATGCCAGATTGGTCTGCAATAAGGCCACCCTCATTCATGACTTGATTGTCAGTGAAAAGGCTGATCTGGTGTATATTACCAAGACCTGGCTGTGACAGGAGGGAGGAGTTCCCCTCTCTGAGATGTGCCCGGTTGGGTTCTGGGTGTGGCACCAGCCAATACCCCAGGGCAGGGACAATGGGGTGGCAGTAGCAATCCAAGATACTTGGGAGGCATTCAGGGGCGCTGCCCCGCAGATTACTGGGTGCAAGACCCTATTTGTTAAGATGGGCACTAAGAAGGGTCAGTTGGGACTGTTGCTATTTTACCAGCTCCCTGCTGCATAGCAACCTCCTTACCTGAGTTTCTTGACTCCGTGGCTGGGTTGGCAGTGGAGTTCCCCAGGCTTATGCTCTTGGGGGACTTCAGCTTGCTTTCTCTGGGCATAGGGTCTGAAATAGCTTGGGAATTCATGGCCACCATGGGCCTGTTCCAAGTCATCCAGGGCCCGACACATAATAGTGGTCATTTGCCTGACCTGGTTTTTCTTCAGAGCAGTGGCAGAGCGCTCTGGATTTGGGGAAGTTATTGGTTTCTGCCCTGTCATGGTCAGATCACTCCCTGGTGAGTCTCCAGGTCTCCAGCACTACACCCCTCCACAGGGAGGCTGGGCCTGTTAGAGCGGCCTGCCCCAGGTGACTGATGGACCCGATTGGGTTTCAGAGGGAGTTTGGGGTTGTTCCAGAAGTTTTGCTACTCGGTTCGGCCGAAGCCTTGGTAGCCGCTTGGAATGGGTGAGCAGCTACAGTTTTGGACTGGATTCTGCCTGAGCGCCCTCTCCATACCCATGGTTCCTGGAACTCTCTGTGGTATACAGAGGAGCTAAGGGAACTAAAGAGGGCTTAGAGATGCCTAGAGCACTGCTGATGATTGACATAGAGCGAAGATGATGGAACACGAGCTAGAGCCACTATTAGAGCCTACCTCGTGGCATTAAGGGCAGTGAAATTTAGTATTTCTCCGCCCTTATTGTATCCGCAGATAGTCACCCAGTGGCCCTGTTTCAGGTGACTCAGTCGTTCCTTGGAAGGAGTAATACTGGGATCCACCTACAGGGTCACTGTGAGGAATATGCTGCACATCTAGCAGATAAAATTGCTCATATTTGCTCTATGTTGGACTCCAGCCTTCGGGCAGAACCAGTAGAGGTTACAGGGGCTGAGTACTGCACAGTTATCTGGGGGGGGTTCAATCCCATTGAATCTGAGGAAGTGGACAGGGCTCTTGCACTTGCTAGTTCAGCCACTTCTGTGTTAGATCCATGCCCCTCCTGGCTGGTCAAGGCTGCCTGGGAGAGGATGTGTGATTGGGTCTGGGCAGTGGTTAATTCTCCCTTGAGGGAGAAGGTGGTTGTGCTGGCTCTTAAGGAGGCGGTGGTGCACCCTCTCTTAAGGAGGCAGTGGTGTGCCCTCTCCCCAAGGCACCATCACTCGACCAACTAGCCTGAACAGTTTCCATCCAGTCTCAGAAAGTGATCACATGGCAGCTTCAAAGGATTGTGGAGTCCTTGGGGTTCTCTGAGCTTGGTAACCAAGCTCAGAAAACCCCAAAGACTCCACAATTCAATCCTGAACTACATATATTCTCTTCTGTTAACTTCAGAGGACCCTAGATGAAGCAGATTATCTGGACCACTTTCACTCGGGGTTCAGGCTGGGTTATGTGTCTGAGATGGCATTGGTCGCACTCTTGGATGACCCCTGGCGGGAGCGGGATGGGGTAGTGCATCCATCCTTTCTCTTCTTGATCTCTCAGTGGCCTTCAATACCATCGATCATTGTATCCTTCTGGACCGGTTTCAGGAGTTGGGGGTGGGCAGCACTGTGTTGTGCTGGTTCTTCTCTTTCCTCCAGAGTCAGTTCCAGTTGGTATTGATGAGGAGAAGTCTAGCCCACAGCCCCTACTTTGTGGGGCGCGTCCTCTATCCTCTCTTATTTAACATCTACATGAGGCCACTGGGTGAGGTGATCTGACAGTTTGGGATGCGATATCATCAATATGCCGATGATACCCAGCTTTATATCTCTACCCCAGGCTGCCTGAGTAATGCGATGGATGTCTTGTCCCAGTGCCTGGAGGCTGTAGGGGCCTGGATGCGGCACAGTGGGCTTTGACTCAACCCAAGCAAGACTGAGTGGCTTCAGTGTTTGGGCTTTCTGGTGACAAGGTTTTTCCACCTTTAGTCCTGGATGGGGTGGCACTGTCCCAGATGGACCTAGTGCACAGTCTAGGGGTCCTCTTGATCTCAACGTCTCCTGCTAGAAGAACAGGTGGCAGCTGTGGCTAGGAGAGCCTTTGTACACCTTCGGGTTGTGCACCAGTTGCACCCATTTCAGGACCGGCAGGCTCTGCTCACAGTCACTCATATCCTCGTGTCCTCCAGACTGGATTACCACAACATGCTTTGCATGGGGGCTGCCCTTGAAAAGCACTTGGAAGCTTCAACTGGTGCAGAATGCAGCTGCATGTGTAGTAAATGGTGTTAGATATTCAACACATGTAACACCACTGCTTCATGAACTGCATTGGTTGCTAGTATGTTTCCAGGTGCAATTGAAGGTGCTAGCTGTCACCTTTAAAGCCCTTCATGGCTTGGGACCGGGTTACCTGAGGGATCGTCTCTTCCCAATTGTTTCTACCCATCCAAGACATTTATGTGCCTGGGCCTGAGGCGATCTGCACATCTTGGGGTTACGACGGCAAAAGGGACTGCCAGGATTGTTGTCACTAAGTAATGCAGTCACATGACGTTGCAATTTACAACCGCAGCACTTAGCAACAGTGATCCTGGTCCCATTTGCTTTCCTAACCCAAGGACTACCTGTATGAGAAACATTTCATTAACTTTGAAAATATAAGTTTTGTTTACACAATATTTTTCTTTTTAGGTTCTTATTGCCACAAGCACGTTAGCCTGGGGTGTCAATTTTCCAGCACATTTAGTAATTGTTAAAGGAACAGAATTTTATGATGGGAAAACCAGGCGTTATGTTGATTATCCAATTACAGGTATAGTCACAAATTGAAAAAGACTGTTTTACTGTAAGAAAGATTAAATGAATCCTTTTTCCTGAAAATGAAAGAGATCTAAGCAAAATTACATATGCCACATGTTTTGTTCAGATTTTTCAGTAATAACTGGATCATAATTTTCATTTTTCATTTTTTGTTATGTTTGAAGAAAATCAGAGGATTCACAAAAATGTATTATTTATCTTCTCACCCATTAAACAGTATAATGGGTTTGGTTTAAAAGTAAAAAAAAAATGCTTACGGTAGAATACTGCTTTAAAGACAATATAAGAAATATCATTTGAGCTGGAAATAGGTAACTTTATCCCTATGAGTTACAAAGTATAAGGAGAAATAGCCAGATGAGTTACGTAGCTGATGTGGTAGAGAAGCTACAATCTGAATAAAATTTTTACATACATAAGGTCCCAAAATATGACAATCACAGTTTAAACTATCTCAAATCTTGCCTGGGACTTTATGTTTGTATCCTTGTCTTATCCATTGCTTATCAGATACATGAAATGAAAAGAGCTCCTTTGGCTAAAACATCTTTCTATGGCATTTGGAATCAAGGAGACAATACTTCTGGTCCCTGTTGTGTCTTACCCTTTATGCAACCAAATTTCACACTTAAGATATAGGATGGTGTTGTTGGATCTTTCAAATAAGCATTTGAAGTCTTATTTTAACATTCTTTTTATAAATTAGAAACAACTTTTTAATGTCACTTTTTAAAAAAGATAGTTAAAGATTTACATTCGGCCTGCCATGCATAGCATTTCCAACCAGAATACAACATTTAAAAGTTCATTATTGTATATGCAATATATGTCTCTTAACTAATATTTCTGTATTTAAAAATACAACTTGCTGTTTCTGGAAATCTACCTTAAAATAAAAACAGAGTCAATCTCAATCTCTCTCTCTCTCTCTTTCTCTCTCATACACGCACACACACACAAACAGAATCTTATGGTCGTTACTGTCTCACTTTTGTAGATGTTCTTCAGATGATGGGACGTGCTGGTCGACCTCAGTTTGATGATCAAGGCAAAGCAGTGATTCTGGTTCATGACATCAAGAAAGACTTCTACAAAAAATTCCTTTATGAGCCTTTCCCAGTAGAATCAAGGTAAAAGGGGGAAAAGTTTGTTGTTATGAAGATATAATACTCCATTGATAATTATATTTTCTATACCTGCAAACTGAACATTGACTGGCCAAAATCCATACAACCTTCTGGCCCTTTTTTTTCCCCCCTCCAGATGGATTTCTTTCATAGATCTTGAGCTTAAATGATCAAAGAGTATTACCAAATAAGTCTATGTCAAGGTTTTAATTATATGTCTACAATGTGGGTATTATCATGGTATCTGTAGCGAAATCTGAGTTTATTATTTTCCTTTCTATGTGTGTGCATGCATGAATATATCAGGTTTTGGTTTATGGAGGTTAGAGAGTCTTAATGGGTAAATGGATGACAGAATGGATATCAAAAGAACTAAAATAATAATATTGTTTAAACCAACACTTTCCTTTTAGAGTATCTATATTTTGAGGGCTCCTCATGTTTTGGGAAGAATTCAGCAGTTTTTCAATGGGGATTAGTCCTGTGTTTTCCTGTAGCTTCCAGATAAGAAAAGAACAGTAGCAATCTTCCTACCAAATAATTTTGCATTTGTGTACTCAGTAGTGTTAGAATAGCAGTCTCCCAGTATAGAAATATAAAATATTTAGTGGGGTTGATTTTAATATCTTCAGTCAGATTAAACTGGAGCCAGGTATTAAAACTGTTTATCTGGTAAACCCAATATGTGTTTTTTTTAATAGTAACATATCAAATTAATATCAATTATTTCAAGAAATATGGTATACTATTTATTTGTTTATTTTTGTTCAGTTTACTAGAAGTCCTGTCTGATCACTTAAATGCTGAAATTGCAGCTGGAACTATAACTTCAAAGCAAGATGCAATGGATTATATCACCTGGACCTACTTTTTCCGCCGTCTTATTATGAATCCCAGGTAAGCTATTGCATTCTCTACCCCCATCTGAAGTGCCAAATGAAATACAAGAGTTTATACTATTTATTTGGTATGTGTAAAACTCATTGTTCCCCCTCTGAACCATGCTATTCTGGGGGCAGTTTTGCAGTTTCTAGATGTAAATCCTCCGAACCAGAAGCAGTTCAAGGTGTCCTGCTAGGGAAACCAGCTTGTTTGGGGGCTAGTCCACCCCAGAACCTCCAATCATTTTCCATTCAGAGGATTTACTTCTAGAAACCATTGAATCATGCTGGGAATGGCATGCTCTTCAGGAGTAACAAAAAGTTCCAGGATTTTCCAACACATTCTGTTTCCAAATTGGTGAATTTTGTACATCCCTACTCTAGATTAATAGCATGAGATGTCATTTGTGAAGACCTTCCCATATTCAGGAACTTACAACATCCCTGTCCCTCCCCTATTTGACACACAATTCACTAGTACTTGTGATTCTATTAATGATAGTGTCCATGATTTACAATCAGTATGTGTAGCAGATTCCTGTTAGAACCTGGCAAGCAGTTCCATGAAAACATAGCTCTTCAATTTATAGCTCTTAGAAAAGATACTTGGATCTGCCTGTAGTTCTTGCTTTTAAGCTTACAGTTATTATCCTAAATAATCCAGATAAAAAACCCTTGAAAACTGTTAAGGACTCAAACAATAAAAGATTTAATTAGATTTCCTTTGGTATAACCAGAAATATGACCATTTACACCAAAGGAACACATGAGGATGTTTTTATTCCATCTTAATGTTTTGCATTAATGGATTCAGTACACTAATTATGCCATCATTTACTATTCGATTTTGCCAGTCTTATGAATATGAATTGTAAATTAAATATGAATTAAAATGTAATGCAATATTAAATATACAATCATCTAGAAGAGAGAGGCACATAATGGAAGCTGTTCCTAGGCCTTCAACCACTTGGCAGTGTTTGGCAGTTTTTACTTAAAGTTGTCCTGCTTAAATTATAGAAGGTGTGATCATTTAAGATACTTGTGAAATAGTCCATCAGTGTAACGGTAAATAAGAATTTAAATTTAAGGATTTAAACAAGTTGAACATAGCTTTATAGTTTCCTTTTTCAAATTCATTATAACGTAACTACTGTTGCTGACTTTTCTTCTGCAGAAGTACCACAGAAGAGATTGTATAGATGACTTAATGAAGTGCTTTTAAGTCTCCAGTTAGAACTAATGTTATTGTGTATTTTCAGGTGAGATTATATAAATAGGTGGTTAGAAAGAATGGGCATCTCTGGTTAACCATACTGTACCAATTGCAGACCAGCCCCACATGCTTTGGTCCAAATTCAAGTGTTCCAGTTATTTTTGTTTATCAATTAAGCTTTTAACTGGCCAGGATCCAAACAATTTCTTAAGTTTTAATTATTCCAGTAGAATTTTTATTTATTTATTCTCTTTGAAAAATTATTTTCTCATATCTTATCACCAGCTGCTTTTCAAACTTCAAAACAGGCGTTGATTTCCAAGAAAGCACACCATGTGATATAGGACTACTATTGATTCAGGGGGAGGGGGCAGTCTTGCTGGTTTTTGGATTTCTCTGATTCCTGGCCATGTTTTATTACTAATTCTGTATTTTTTATTAAGCACTGAATAACTCCATTTTTTGCAAAGCACTGAGTTTAAATTTCAAAGTGTTTGTTAGTCATAGTAATAGTATTTTAAACTGCAGCTCCTAATGTACTATCAGCATTACATTCATTTCGATATTCTAGTTTAAATATTTTGAGGTTTGCAGTGTGGAATGAGAGTTAAGCACTCAGCCAAATATCTGAAAGTCGTATCAGCCACAATCTTGAGGAAGCAGCTAGCTAAAAAGCCAGAACTACAGTATTTTGATCTGTAGAACAAATGATATTCAGTGTTATGGGGAGAGAATAGTAGTTGGCCTCTGGTAGTCCCATGCACATCCTTTTGTGGCTCTTGTAAGCTGGAAAGTAAGAATAATAAAAACAAGCCATCAAATTCCTGAAATACCCAAACTTCCTCACATGTATAATTGATAATTTGTACCCTCTAAAAAAACTATAAATGCACCCATTGGCCACCAAATATTTCCTACCCCTGTATAACAAGTATGAGATTTGGCCCTCCAAAAGTAATTTAATATGGACTTATTTAAAGGCATTCTCTGCTAGGCACTTTTTAATTTTCTGATTTTTGCCCAATAATTAAAATCATGTTTGTTTTGCAGAACAAAATACTAAATAGTAGTACCAAATACTAAAAAATCATTACAATACAGTATTTGCTAGAAAAAAATAGTCCTGACTGAATGACAGATGCAGGTAGCTATTTTTCTAAAAATGAATTGTTATCAGTTTATGCTGTCTTGATTTCAATAGGATATCAACATGAATTAGTCTTCAGGAATGAGATTCGTTGTGTTAAATATTCAGTTCCACTTTAATGCTTTTTAGTTTGGGATATAGTGTATATTTAGAATCACAATTCAGAATTTACTAAATACTTTTTATTTCTTAATGCACATGATATTTGTTGATCTTTAATGTTAACAAATCGATGCTTAGTTGCTCAGCAGTTGCCAGTGTTCAGAGGAATATAGGATGGCTGGTACCTTGAATGGCATTTATGCATAGGCTTGGAAAGATAAATTAAATGGGTGGTGTTGATGAATGACCCAAATGTCACAAAAACAGGCGTTTCTGCAGTGTGTTTAAAACACAGTGGTATTATAAAATGCTTATTGATTTTATCAGAAGCCATTTTGACTGTTCTTAAGAAAGTTGGGCTTTGGTATGGTCTGTTACGCCTTTGTGGACAAAAAATGCTCTTGCCTTGTTAATGAGTACTTATGTTTCCAACCTTCTGTTGAAGGCACAGTAGAAGACTGAAATTATATAGAGAGAATTGCTTTATTTCCTTTGCCAGTAACCAGCTCCAAGATGGCTTGGAAAAATAGCAGTCCTAAGTAGTAAAATACCATGGAAAAATAGCTGAGCATTTAGGAAAAAAAACCAACAAAGCCAGGAGATAAAATATAAAGCAAACAGTTAGAAAATGATTAAATGATATCAAATACTAGTGAAGTCATAGGAGAAAGTATTAATTTGTAAATCAAATATTGTCATTAGATGTGATCTGGTATTGAAGTGTTAAGACTGGGTGTTTGCATATTGAAGTTCTGTATGCTCTTAAGCCACGAGGAACCCAGTGGGACTTAATTCTCAGAACGTAGGCAAGGATAGTGTGCCTTTTGTTATAGAGTTGCCAGTCTGTTGCTTAAAATCCCTAGAGCTGTGCACACTTCTCAAGTTATTCAGAAGTAACACAGCATCTCTCTAATGTTTATTAAAGAAACTTGACTTTTTTCAGCCTTCTGCACAAGCCTAAAAAAAAAAAATGCCACTAGTTTAAGGAATCCACTCGTTAAAATTAATGTGATGTTTAAAGCAGAAGGCTTCCACAGGAACCTGGAAAGGGTTGGGCAGCTCTAATGAATAGCAGAGAGGTGCTGCTTTTGTGTGATGTCCAAACATATTTTTCCAGATCATTATCAAAGTATGCAAAGGCCTATCATTCTTCAGAATTGTCTGAAGGTACAGTTTACAACCCACAGGAATTGAGGATAATGGTTTCTACTCTTTCTGAATTGGTTGCATCATTCTAATGAGCAGAAGCCAATTATGCGTTTTGTTAAATAGAAACAGTGCCCCAATCCTTTGGAACAGCTTTTGAGGATGTATAGCAGGTCTCAGGAGAAAGAAAAACGCCTGTTAAGCAAATGGATGTCTACCTATTGAATTTAAAATATGTCATACAACTTATTATCTAAAAATTCTTCATATTTGGGGCGGGGAGGGCAGTTTCAGTTTTTCTAGTCTTTCTAGCAATCAGTTCCTAGGTGATATTCCTCCATCACTTCACTTTTTTCTATATTGATTCAGGTTTTCCAAAGATCTGTTCCATCCTCTCATCCATTTAATATAGTCTTTTCCAGTCTGAGTCTCCTCGAGCTGTATGGACTTCAGTTCCCTGAATTCCTCAGCCAGCATGGCCATTAAGTAGCAAAGATTTTATTTACTCACATACACACATATATATACATACACATGCATGCATGCACATACACGTGTGCGCACACACACGCATACACACATGCATGCACACACATACACAAATACTTGTGAAGTCCTTCACATTGGCCTGGTACAGATTTGATATTCCAAGTCTGTTAACTAGAGCTTTGTAAGACCAGTGTCATAAAATGATAATGATACAATTCATATTTTTGTCTACAGGTGCAATTTATATGCTCTCACACTCTTTCCTTCTCTCCACACATGCACATCACAATTTATTTTGCTGATATCTATATAACGGAGATTGTACCTCTGCTTATGTTGCACAAGTTTCTGTGTCTAACCTTTATTCAAAGATTTTGTTCATTGCTTAGCAAAAACACAGCCACTCACTTCAGTAGAAAACCTTCCCAATGTAAATTATAACTAATATTGTATAGGACCCAGAATATGAAGTCTAAATATGAATCTTTCTTAGCAGTTGCACAGAACCCATCTGGGAAGTAGAAAAATATAAATAGCGCTTTAACCAGGCAGTGCAGTCCGTAAGTCGGTTTAGGCATGCTTCAAAATAATAATTCTCACAGTATTGCTTTGCCGTCCAGCTTTTCCTGGCATACTAACCAGTTAGTTAGTTTCATTCTCTGGTATCTTATCATACTATATTAAAGGCCTAAATGAATTTGACATAAATGGTAAAATGCTTGTTAGAATGAATATTCCATGCACACTCTGCTATGTTCATATGTACTCACCTTGTATGCAAGCCTATATTTGTATAGTTTTAAATGTCACCAGTTGCCAACATCTAAGTTGCAAATTGGTGTAGTAACAGATACACAAATGAGCTAAGATGTTTAGAAAGTGTGTTTGTGACAAAGTGAAGAGATAGACTTTATAC